CAGGTGGGTCTCAAACCCACGGGCTCAGGCAATCCACTCATCTCAGCCTCCCAAAGGCACAGGATTACAGGCTGAGCCACCGAGTCCGGCTCTTGGGTATGTTTTAAAATGCATACAATACTTGCGGGGCATGGTGGCTCATACCTGCAATTCCAGTACTTTGGGAGACAGAGGCAAGAGGATTGCCTGAATCCAGGGGTTTGAGACCAGCTTATCTCTACAATAAATCAATAAATAAAAATAATTCTACAATAAATAAAAATTAGCCGGGTGTGGTGGCATGCTTGTGGTTCCAGCTACTTGGAAGGCTGAGGGAGAAGAATCGCTTGAGCCCAGCAGGTCGAGGCTACAGTAGCCATGAGTGTGCCACTGCACTCCGACCTGGGCAACAGAGCGAGACTCCAACTCAAAAAACAAAAAACCATACAATACTTACTAGACAATGCTTTATGTTATGGAAAGGGAAGAAAATAACTTTTCCATCTCACTTCCAAGTTTGGTATAGTTTTTCTCAAGAAGTGGACCCAGGGCACTTGTCGCTTGTTAAGAAGTCTGGCTTGATGTCTAGGACAATAAGGAATCTTAAAACAAATAGTCTGGAGGCAGGCTGACAAGTTAGGCAACTACTGTCAAATGACAGGTGTGATACATAAGTGGGGGCTACATATTCTGTCACAGAGTAGAATCAAGTTGAACTTGTATAAATGAGGCCTGAAGCCCTCACCCAACTGACCAAGCCAATTATACTGAGGACAATTGACTCATTGGGTGGTCTTCTCTGTATAAAAGCTTTCTGCTGAAAAGGTGTTTAAGGTATTTCTTTTTTTATTTCAAAATTTATAAAGATGCCACTGAGATTTACTGAAATCTATTGTTTATGAAAAGTAGTTTTGCAGACATTCTAACATTTTTCTGAAGATTTACATTATGTAAATTTGAGACTTTAAAAATGTACACAATACATTAATATAGTTAAGACTGTATAAAAGCTAAACAGCTTAGGATGTGTGCTCAAGAATTTTTTATTGATGGGGTCAACCATGTAAGGACCATTGGTTGGATTCACCTAAATGGCTTGTCGAGTGTTTATTTTCTCTGAGCTTGTAAACAGTACACTCTTTAGAACTTTGTTGAATACATACTTTCTGGAGTGATCACCAGCATCTTGATTTTTTTTATTCATAGAAAGCTAACAAGAAAATGGCAAACATTACATGTAGCATGACGGCTTCTTTGTGGGGGCAGGATTTTGTATGTGTCCTTGCCCAGCATAGAAATCCAGTCATACGCAAGGTCCACATGGGCCACCGTAATTGTCTTTTAAGCCAGATTGGAGTACATCAGGTGGACCCACCTGTCCGTCTGCTTCCCACCAGGAGGCCCCAAGAGCAGACTCTGATATTGGGTGTTGGGCTTCTTAGCCTCTTTTACTTCTTAAGTCGGGAAGCATCAGACCCTCTTTTGCCCTCTGCAGCTTTCCCAAGGCCAAGGCCAAGGGGGCATGGCTGAGGCAACCCTCCCCTGCCCTTCCCCCCAGCACACAGAAGCAGCCAGCTAGCCGGATGTGTGCCCAATGCGTGCCTGATGCTGAGGGCGTTGTGGTCTCTGTCTCCACAGTCTGCCTCTACATCAACAAGCAAGCCAATGCAGGGCCGTACCTGGAGAAGAGGAAGGTGCAGCAGCTCCCGGAACACTTTGGGCCTGAGCGGCCATCAGCAGTGCTGCAGCAGGCCGTCCAAGCATGCATTGACTGTGCCCACCAGCAGAAGCTGGTCTTCTCCCTGGTCAAGCAGGGCTACGGTGGCGAAGTGGTGTCAGGTAAGGCCCTGGGGCAAGCTGTGCAGGGAGGGCTGTGGGTGACTCTCTGCAGTAGAAGGCAGTTGTACTCAGGCTGGGGGACAGTGGTGATGGCCAAGGTCTGTCCTCCATCTCCTGGGCTCTGGAGGTACTTATAAGACTGTGAGCTCTCAAAAGATGCTTCCAGACCTGGACAAGAAGACTGGATTTCAGAGTCTTCACCCTTGACTCATCTTTCTCCACCCTCCACTTCCAACCTGTCAGTAACTCCTACTGCCCTACCTTCAGAATAGACCCAGAATCCAACCGCCTTTCGCCTCCCACAGCACCCACTCTGGTTCTTTAAAAATCTAAGTCAGATCATGCCTCTCCTCTGCTCTAAACCCTCCAATGGCTCCCAAGTGACTCCAAACAAAAGCCCAAGTCCTTACAGGAACCCACAGGCCTTATGCGACATAGCCCTGGCTACCTCTCTAATCTCTTTGTCACTTCTCTCTCATCCCCACTCTGTTCCAGCCACGGTGGCCTCCTTGCTGTCCTTCCTAGATCCCCCAACTATGTTCCTGCCTCAGTTTATTTGCATCTGCTATTCTTTCTTTCCGAAACACTCTTCCTTCAACTGTCCATGTGGCTTCTTCTGAGCATCCTTTACGTTTCTACTCAAATGACACCTTATTTGTAGAGTCCTTTTCTGACCCTTGTCTAAGATATCAGTCCTTGTCACTCTTAGCTCTTCCTTACCCTGCTCCAAGCTTCTTTCACAGCACTTCCCACCATACAGGGCAGTGAGGAAAACTTGTCATTTCAATCCCATCTTCAGCGGGGGAGGGGGGTTGTTTTAAAAATAAGATCCTTCACTGTCAGAGAAATCCCTTCTTCCATTGAAACCACCCTGCTCTAGTTTCAGCCCTGACCCAAGAGCTTCCAAAGGATGCCAAGCCGCCCTCGCCAAGTGAGAAGGGCAGAATGGGGAACTCCATCATCTTCAAATGTTTCACCCACAGAGGTTCCTTCTGTCTTATCCTGGCTCTCTACACAATAGTTGTCCCTACCCAACTTAATCCCTGGAGCACCAGGTCTTGTAAAAATGTCTCAACTGCAAGGGGACAGCCTGAAGTCTTCTCTGGCTCAGCACCATGAGCCTGGCCTTCCATATCACTAGAGAAAAGGGAGAAGCTTCCCCAGCAGTGGGGCAGAGCAGATGACCCTGCTGGCTAGTTGAGAAGGGGTAAGGAAGAGAGGACCCCTAATGTGCTTGCATCCCAAATAATCAAAGCAGGGGCATTTTATTACCAAGGCTGGGAGCTGTGAGGGGCAGAGTGTCCAGTTCACATTTGGCATTCCCTCTGAACAGGAACCTGGGTTTGTCTTGGTGATTGTTTAGAATAGACCTTGGCAAGGTTGAGGTACTTGTGTCTGACCCAGGATGGTTTTGAAGAGCCTTTAGCAGATGAGAGCAGAGATGGGAGGAAGCACTGCCCCAAGAGAGGGCAGGAGGGACTCCGGTTGCCAGGCCTTCTGAGAGCCCCTTGACCCTTCCTGTCCTGATTTCCTTCTGAGAGCCAGGTTCTTGGTCCTGGCTGGGTTCTGAAATCAAAGGCCTTGTCCTTGTCCTTGCTAAGTTGCAGGGCCCACGACACAGACCCGGTGCTAAAAGAAAGTCCCTCTTGCACTCTGCACTCGCCTCCTCAAGCACATCCATCTGACTACGTTCTTTACATCTCCTGCCCCCTGAGCCGGGAGAGCTAACTCTGTTTTCCCCAGTTTCCGGCTCAGACCTCTGTCTGTGACCTCCGGGGCCTGGGCACTGAGGAGGAGGTTCTGCAGGGCCTGACAGCAACACAAAAGTGGACAGAGCCTTGCCAAACTTCCCTTGACTGAGGGAATTACCAGGAAGGCCAGTACGGAGCACTTTGTCTTAGCATCTCGGAGAATGCTGCAGCACTGAGCTGGCTCCTCACGCTGCCCCCTTGAGGCTGCTAGGGGTTTTTCATGTTACAGAAGGTGATAACGGAAGCTTAGCTAGGCTAAGTAAGTGACAGCATCAAGGTGCTGGATTCGAGTGGAGGCACCACTGGGAACTCAGGTTTGTTCTAATGTATCTGTAAGTCGATATCTACCTCTCTGTAGACAGACAGATAGATGATGCATGAATGGACAGACTGACAAATAGGATGATAGATAGATGATTGCCAAATAAATGGATGATTAGATAGATTTGATAGATAGGCCGACAGATGGACAGACAGACAGATTAGATAGATGAATAGGTAATAGATAAAAAGATAGATAGATGATAGATTAGATAGATAGATAAAAAGACTGAGGGATAGGTAGGTAGATAGATAAATAGACAGAGATAGATTAGGTAGATAGAGATAGCTAGATAGATGGAAACAATTATAATGGGATAAGAAGGGAGGGAACTGAAGGAGAATGTCAGACTCCCACTTTCCACTTAGAATGCAATCCTTAGGGCGCTGCTTTCCCAACATGCTCATGTCACAACATATGGAAAACGGTAGCATGGGTGCTGGTGCAATGAGGTAAAGAAACTGGAGTGACTGGAGGAGGCTGCCTGCCTATATCTTAGGCTACCCCAAGGTTGAGGGGATCAGTGTCACAGAGCCCCATAAGCCATTCTCAGCACAGCTGTTGGGGTGCTGTGTCTTAGCCACTCTCTCCAGGGGAGTAGATTTCATGATATCATGAATTCCATGTCCTACAGGTGGGATGTCCCGGGTTTCTGGGCATGTTTGCACATGAATTTATGGAAAAATCCTGAGGCCCCAAGACCCTCCTGCTGTGGGCTATGGGTTCAGTTTCCATATCATCCAGGCTTTTAAGCCGCTGTGGCCACACTAAGAGGGAATCTCCAGAGTGCCTGGAATGACCCCTTCATGAGCATCTCAGCAGCATTTTGACTAATTCTCCCAATGAGAGTCACCTGGAGTATTAAAATGATAGACAAGTGCCACTTAGAGGCCACGTGAGCTAGAAAAACTCCTCCAGGCCCTCTCCTCTGTTTCTTCATCTGTAACGTGAGATAAAAACCTTTAAGTTCATTGTCCTCTAGGGACTGTCAGGAGGCCTAAATGAAGTGATGAATATACAAGTTCTTGTCAAACTAGAAAAAGCTACATGGAAAACATGGACTCTTTTGATTTCTAATTTAAATGGGTGTTTCCTTTTGAGCTTCAAAATCAAAACTAGCTATGATAGCCACCGCTGTCTGCCAGACTTCAGGAGATATAATGTTTAAAAAAGCAGGCTGCCCTCCAGGTGTTGCCACTGAGTGGTAGAGGCTAGGTGGGAGCACAGTGTCTTGGGGTCTCTTTGTGTGTGTCCTTCACATGGAGCTAGGGTGCAGTCTTGGGGCAAGAGATGACTGTGAGGAGAGATGTCGAAAAAAACATGCTCTGTGTTGGAAGAAATATGTGTTGCTTCTCAATTCTGGTACCCTTATAGAAATTGAGTTTGATCTAGCATCCTTGCAAAGAGGTTATTTTCCTTTGCTAAAGACTTTTCTCCTGAACTCTTCCCTTGAACTCTGTGGTGTTCCTTGAACTCTGTGGTGCTGGATTAGAGTTGGAGACATCAGTATGAACTCAGGTTTATTTGAATGAGAGAGAGAGAAAGAGAGAAAGAAGTTAGATGTAACAGGATATATACATATATTTCTTAGTTCTGTCCACTGAGAGGGCCCAGAGCCACTGTCAACCCAGTAGCAAAGAGCACATCCAGTGCCCTGTTCTTGGTTTCTAAATACCACTCTTCAATAAAAGTAATACCGTGGTGAAATGACTGATTCTAGGGCTAGAAATACAAGATAACTAATTCTAGGGCTGGAAATACAAGCCTATTGAAATGGTGAAAACCAAAGAAGTGCTAAAATAAACTTTAAAAAATGGGGCATGTCATAAAGACACAAAAGCCAACCTGAAAGAGCTCCCTAAGATGGAAACTGGGACGATTTGAACAGCAAAATGAATAATGTAGGGTTGGATAGCACAGTGCAAAATAAATATATTGAGACTGTACTGAGCTTAATAAATGGCTGAATAAATAAATAAATGAGGGAGAAGAGGCAACAGTTTCTTACAGAAGAATTCCGAACGATGTGTAGAATCTATCCTCTCCAGGAGGAATAGCTTAATTCATACCTTGCCCCCATCCTTGAGTGTGAGCAAGATCTTGTGACTCGTTTCCAAGGAACAGAATATGGAGAAGACAGTGGAGGAACATAGCATGTACTGCCTTGGCTAGGTGATGAAGGTTGACATTCCCAGAGATGTCATGTGGCTATTATGTACCCTTGATCTGTTGTGATGGGAAGGGCACTTCACCTCTGGGGTCTTCCTCCCAAACATCCCATAACCCCTATCTCATCATGAGAAAAACATCAGACAAACCCAGACTAAGGGATATTTTACAAAATATCTGACCACGGCTCTTCAAAACTGACAGGGTCATGAAAAACAAAGAAAGGATGCGAAACTGTCACAGGAGACAAAGAAGGCATGACAACACAATGCAATGTGGTATCTTGCATGAGATCCTGGAACAGAAACAGGATATTAGCAAACCAACAGGTGGAATCCAGATAAAACCTATTTAAAAATAAATAAACAACCAGAAAACTCTCCCCCAGGGCTGATTGACTTGTGGTTTTCTCCAGTGTCCGGCTCTGACTTGCTGTCTCTGTGGTTTTCCAGTCTCGGCTTCTTTTGATGGCAAACAGCACCTGCGGAGTCTGCCTGTGGTGAACAGTATCGGGTATGTCCTCCGCTTCCTCACCAAGCTGTGCCGAAGCCTCCTGTGCGATGATCTCTTCAGTCACCAGCCCTTCCCCAGGGGCTCCAGTGCCTCTGAGAAATCCCAGGAGAAAGGCAAAGGGAGAATGGAGTCAGGTAGGCCTTGTCCTGCTGTCCCTGCCTGCAACTCGAGGCGGGGAGTGCCTTCCTGTCCCAGGTGTTTCTGCCCTTCCAGTGCAGGTGAGACAGCTGCTGAGGGTGTAACTACAGGTCCTGGCAGTTCTCCTGCTGGAGCCCACAGGCTGCCTCTCTGGGTGTCTGGGTAGCATTCAGAGCTGGCTGGGACTCAGGGCTGTCTGGATGGGCCCCGCCCTGGGATGCAGAGGGAAATGGCCATTCCAGCTATTGAGACCCAACATAATAGCTTTTAGGCTGATGTGATCAGAATTTAGACAATGAGACTGCATCACATGTAATGAGTGATTTTCTTTACTTGCCTCTAATTGAAACTTGGAGCATTTATTTTTCGTTGTTGAGTAGTTTAAGGGCTATGAAACTAAAGAACTCAGAAATTCCAAAGATACTAAGGCTATGGAATCAATGATGTTGGTCTTGCCTGGAAGTCTCAGATGTCTACCTATGTGAATTAAAGGTATAGCAGAATGTCTATGACTGCAGGGGTTTGACTGGGTCATGTATCAAATATGTCTTCCAATGAGAGTTAGTATTTCTCTCCATCACAGGATGGAAATTGACCCTGGGGGTTGGTTTCTTTTTTTACTTCCAGCCACTGAGTAGCTCAGGATAGAAAAGTGGCCAGTGTGCAGGACACCAAGGCCACATGGGCACACATGTCATGTCACAGTGTTGTTGCCCAAGGGGCTAAATGCCAATGGGAGGGACTCCTTCTCCAATGACCAGCCATGAGTGAGGGATGTGCAAAGAGGTGACCGTGAACCTCAAGGATGAGCAGAAGTATTGTCTATTTTCTTCCTCTGACAGCAGGATTGTTGATATATGAAAAGCACAGACAGTGCAACTGGAATCCAGTCATCATGTTAGTCTGTAAGCATGTGTTGAACCCTTTTCTGTTTCAAACACCATATGAGAACCTGTCTTGGATAAGACACATGAGCTTAGGAGTGTTTTTGAGAAGTAGAGTGACTATTACAAATAATGAAAAACTGATACATTATGTGTTCACAGACATTTAACACATTCAACAAAAGGATGCTTATAATGAGAGTGACTACATCTAAAACCCAATAGAACAGCAGGGAATGATACATTTAGATTCTTAGCACAGCTTTTCTTGGACACTATCAAGAAGCTTGCCTATCATTTTGCTTTAATCTCTCTGACACCTGGTAAACAAGAAGAAATTTGGCCTCTACAAAGAAAGGTACCTAATTAAATATCGTTGTGTGAGCAGATACTACATACATCTATGTTTTTCTGGATGTCTCTATATGTTTGAGGTTGGCAATGCCTTCTCAAACTTCTCTGGGCTTAAGTTTTCTATGTTAAATGAGAGGTTGAAAGTTATTGATATAGAATGTTCTGGTTCTGACAATCTATGAATCTGGCCTCTCCTATAAACCTTAGTTGACTCAGAAACATACTCTTAAGCTATTTATCTTCTAGTTAACCTTGCAATGAGAATAGCACAACAGTATGATTTCACTTCTCAAATCCAGTCATCATGTTAGTCTGCAAGCAGGGTCTCAAAGGCTTGCATCAATGTTACATTAAACAAACAATGACCCATGGGATAAAACCACATAATTCATGTCTCCCATTGTCCTTTAAATGTATTCTGCAGGATTCGTTTTGCCCTGTCTATGGATGAAATTTAGGACAAATCTTGTGTCTTTTCTGTTTCCTTTCAGGTTATAAAATGTTCTCTAATCAATAATTAATATGTCCAGGTAATATTGATTGAAATTTTTTGGTGAATTTATTATAGGTTTTTGTATTGTGGTTACCATAAGGCTTATAATAAGTCTCTTATAGGTAAAACAAATTATTTTTAAAAGATGATAAGTTATTTTAAATTACAAAGAAAAGACTAGAAATAAAGAAAAAATTTAAAAATGAACTTTAACTTCATTCCCCCCACATTTTGATTCTTAGTTGTCTTAATTTACACATTTCTATATTACCTATCTCTTAACAGGTTGCTGTAGCTATTATTTCTTCTGATACATTTTTTTGGGGGGTTCATACTAGGGTTGTGAGTAGATTACACAGCACAATCACAGTATTAGAGTGTTCTCGGTTTGTCTGCGTACTTAATTTTACCAGTGGGCTTTATACTTTCAAATTTTTTTCTTTTTTATTTCTTTTTTTTTATGTTTTTTTTTTCTTCCAGATTGAAGAACTCACTTTAGCATTTCTAGTAAGATGGGTCTAGTGGTGATTAATTATTTCAACTTTTGTTTGTCTGGGAAAGACTATCTCTTCTTCACAGTGAAGGATAACTTTGCTGGATACAATATTCTTGGATGGCAGGGTTTTTGTTTGTTTGTTTGTTTGTTTGTTTGTTTGTTTTGTTTTGTTTTGTTTTAATCAGCACTTTGAAACTGTCATTCCATTCCCTCTTGGTCTGTATAGCTTCCACTCAAAACTCTGTTGCCAAATTTGGGCTCCTTTGCATGTTATTTGCTTCTTTTCTCTTGCTGCTTTTAGAATTCTCTTTGCCCTTGGCCTTTGAGAATGTGACTCTTATATGCCTTATTGGGGCAAAATCTATTTGCTGAACTCTGACCTTTCTGTACCTGGATATTGATGTCTTGCTCAAGTTTTGGAAAGTTTTTGGTTATTATTTATTTATCTTGAACTACTGGCCTCAAGCAGCTCTCCTACCTTGGTCTCCCAAAGTTCTGGGATTACAGGCATGAGCCACTGCACCCGGTGTGACTATTATTTCTTTGAATAAGCTTCCTGCCCTTTCCTCTTGCTTTACTCTCTCTTGAACGCCAATAATTCCTAGGTTTGGCCTTTTGAGGTAATTTTCATATCTTGCAGCTGATCTTTATTGCTTTTCTCCTCTGATTGTATATTTTCAAATAGCCTGTCTTTGAGCACACTGATTTTTTCCTTTGCTTGATTCATTCTACTGTTGAGAGCCTTAATGAATTTTTCAGATCAGCAAGTATATTTCTCAGTTCCAAGATTTCCGTTTGTTTTTTTTTTCCTTGAGAGACATAGTCTTGCTCTGTCACCCAGGCTAGAGTGCAATGGCATAATCACAGCTCACCGCATCCTCAAACTCCTGGGTTCAAACAATCCTCCTACCTCAGCCTCCCAAGTAGCTGAGACTACAGGCATTCGCCATGATTTCCAGCTAATTTTTTTATTTTTGTAGAGATGAGGTCTCACTATGTTTCCCAGGCTGGCATCAAACACCTGGCCTCAAACAGTCCTCCTGCCTTGGCTTCCCGACATGCTGGGATTACAAGTTTGAGCCACCATGACCGACCTGATTTTGTAAATTATTTCAATCTCTTTGTTAAATTTCTTTGATAAATTTCTGAATTGCTTTTCTGTGTTATATTGGAGATCATGGAGTTTCCTTAAAACTGCTATTCTGAATACTTGGTCAGAGAGCTCACATATTGCCATCTTGTTAGGGTCAGTTACTGGTTCCTTATTTTGTCCATCTGGGGAGGTCATACTTTCCTATTGGCTGATTTTTTCTTTTTTTTTGATGGATGTATGTTTATGTCTTTGCATTGAAGGATTATTCCAGTCTTCTCTGTGTTGTTTGATTTGTTTTTTACTGGATATATTTGCTTGGAGTTTCTCTACTTCTAGGTCACTGCCTCCTTTTTGGCTCTAGGTGGCACCTTCAACCCAGGTTTGCCTTGGCTCCAGGATTTGATTGGAGAACTGTCCTTCCCACATGGGGGCAGTCTCAATAGGGATGTTCTCGAATTGTGGGGAGGCTGCCTGGGGGTACATGCCCAGGGGGTCTGTGGGAACTTACTACATACAGGGTGGTGCTGCTGAACAGTCACTCTGATCTGGTGTCTTCCTTGGCTGAGTTACAGAGCAGAGTTTCCAGGGCTGGGGATGGCAGTCCTGTCTTCCCCCTTTTTCTCTGGCTGTCCTTAGGGATATTTTTCCCTTCAGTTACTCTTAATGCTTCCATGGGTAGAGACAGGGACAGATCTCCTACGGGAACCCAAGATGGCATGGAAGCTGGTTATCCACCTCGATCTCACTTCTTCCCATGTAGAAACAGTGAGTTGGGGAAAATTTTTCATATGCTTGGTGCCAGGCTGAATGGGGAGAGGGATGTCATGGATGTGGAAGTCAGATTCTCTTATCATCTTGTCAGAGTTTTTTCACTTCTCTGTGGCCCCAAGGATTATCTCATCTTCATATCTGAGCTCTGGGATATTTCTGATGATAATCACAGTGCTGTATATTTGTTTTGGTTTTCTGTTGGAGATGAGGGGAGTGAAGCCATCCTACTTCTATGCTGCCATTTTGGAAATGAAAGTGTGCTGCCGAACTTTAAATTTCACTCAGAGATATAGCTACTGCCCACTCCCAGCTCAGAATTGCTTCAGGACAATTGCCTACTGCAGTAAAGAAGAGCATAATTGGCTCCCCCTGGTTTTGTGTTATTGCCCCCTCCCATAGCTAGCTAATCGTCATGTCAGAACCCATCATGGTAGATGGAGGGAGGAGGGGAGGCAAGAGGCAAGGTTTTACTTGATGTGCCCTGTTGTGACTTGGCATCACACTCCCTGCTCTGGCAGGAGTTTAAAGCTGATTTCCTATCCTAAGTGCTTTTATACAGATTCTTCGGTAACCCTACCATCTGTCACCTGTACTTTCCTTGACATGGACAAATGTAACTGTTCCCTGGCTGGTCACTGATAATCCCTTCCACAATCCAAGGCCTCTGGGGGTAAATCTCTAGTTTCCTTCTGATAAAGCCCCCTAGTGCCTCCAGACTGTCCTGCAGAAAACATCTAAGATGATGCTGCCGCAGATCTATCTTCTGACGGCCCACATCCAGTCCTTGAGAAACACTTACCCACCCTCTGCCCAAACAGACTCTGAGTGTGCAGGCTGATCCCTGCAGGAACCTCGCCCTTGTTCACCAGCCAACCACAGTCTTTTAGATTTCCTATGGGAATCAA